CTCCATGTGAGGTACCTGAGGACTGGTCATGAACTGGCTCACAACACTGACTGCATAGAAGATGTTTGGACGAGTGACTGTGAGGTAAATAAGTTTACCTACAAGTCTCCGATACATCTTTGGATCATCAAGTGGGTCACAATCATCCACCTTAAGTTTTACATTAGTCTCCATGGGTGTAGCACAAGTTTCGAACAAAAATATCCAGTATCTTGTAAGAGATCAAGAGTATACTTCCGCTGAGAAAGACTAACGCCTTGCTTCGACCGAGCCACCTCAATTCCTAGAAAATACCGAAGTAGGCCCAAATCCTTAGTAAGGAAGCTAAAACTCAAGTGATGGATTAGAACTTGTATCCCATCTTTGTCACTGCCGGTGATAACGATATCATTTACATACACTACAAGAATCACAATACCACGTTTCATTTTCTTAAAAAAGAGAGAGTGATCAGCTTGGCTTCTGGTCATACCATAATCTACCACTGCTTTACTGAACTTATCAAACCATGCACGAGGAGACTGTTTGAGACCATAGATAGACTTCTAGAGATGGCACACACACTCCCCCTTAGACTTAAACCCAGGTGGTTGAGTCATATAGACTGTCTCAGTAAGGTCACCGTGCAGAAAGGCATTTTTAACATCAAGTTGATGAAGTGCCAGTCTAGATTAGCTGTAAGAGAGATTATAACATGAACATAATTTAGTTTGGCCACAGGAGAGAACGTCTCAGTATAATCAATGCCATAAGTCTAAGTGTAGCCTTTAACTTATCAAAAAAAAAAAAGTCTGAGTGTAGCCTTTAGCAACAAGTCGAGCTTTGAGACGGTCAACAGTACCATCACGCTTCTGTTTAACAGTAAAAACCCAACGACACCCAACAACCTGAGTATCTGCAGGCTTAGGAACAAGGTCCCAAGTATGATTCAATTTTAAAGCGTTTATTTCTTCTTCCATAGCTTTCCTCCACCCTGGATGAGAAAGTGCCTCCCTGTAGGACTTGGGAAGAGTAATAGAGGATAATGACAAAGAAAAAGCTTGAAAGGAGGAGGACAATTTATTATAAGATACAAAATTGGAGATAGGGTGATTGGTACAAGACCGTTTACCTTTCCGAACAGCAATAGGTTGATCAAGATCAGAGTCTGAAGAGATGGAAAAATCTCCAGGCGTTGAAGCGATTGGCAAAAGTGGCAAGGCTGGGTTTACTACTTCAGTCGTTGGAACATGATTAACTACTCTTTTCCGGCGACGAGCATAGACACAAAGAGCTGGTGGGATGTCATAATCAAAAACTGGAGTTGGAAGAACAGACTCTTGAAGAATAGAGTCCTCCAAACGACTGCCTTCCTGGGAATAATAAGGAACATCCTCAAAGAAAGTTACATTTGCACACACAAATTGTTTACGAAGAGTTGGACTGTAACATTTATATCCCTTTTGAGTGCGAGAATGGCCTAAGAAAACACATTTGTGAGCACGAGGATCAAGTTTGTTTGTCCCGGCCTTAGATTGTGAACAAAACAAACACACCCAAACAGCTTTTGAGGAATGGAAAAAGGGTTTTTGTCAGGAAACATCATTTGGAAGGGTGATTTTCCTTGAAGGACCCTAGAAGGCTTGCGGTTTAAAGGATAAACAGCAACCAGAACTGCATCTGCCCAAAAATGTTTTGGAACAGGCATTTGAATTATTAAGGCACAAGCGATAGGTAGGAGTGGGCCATTCTTCCGTTCAAAAACTCTATTTTGTTAAGGGGTATCAACACAAGATGTTTGATGGATAATGCCCCTCGACTCAAGAAACTTTTGAAAAGCATGAAGTGTATATTCAAGGGCATTGTCAGTTCTAAGAACAAGTAATTTTGCATCAAACTGATTTTGAATTTCAACATAAAAGGATTGAAAAACAGAGAATACTTGAGATCTATCTTTAAGAATATAAACCCAAGTTAAACGTGAATAATCATCAATAAATGACACAAAATAACAAGCACCAAATAAACTAGTAGTACGAGCTGGTCCCCAAACATCCGAATGTACTAACTCAAAAGGTTTTAAACTTTTATTATCAAAATGAGACTTAAAAGTAACCCGACGATGTTTACTAAGTTCGCAAGTAGTACAATTAAACTTAGCAAAATCAACTAAAAAAGGGACCAAGACTCGAAGACTATTTAAAGAGGGATGTCCAAGGCAGCAATGCCATTGGTAAGCTGAAGAGGAGGTGGAATGTAGAGCTGTCGGAGTAGTAGTTGGCTGGAAGTAGTAAAGACCATCCTTCTCAAACGCCCCACCAATCGTCTTCTTCGTCTTGAGATTATGAAAGACACGACAGGAAGGAGAAAAAGTAACTGAGCAATTTAAATCTGATATGATTTTGCGAACTAACAATAAATTGAATGAAAATTGAGGGATATATAAAACTGATGAAAAAGTGAGACCCGAAGTGCGGAAGGTACCAATTCCATGAACATGCGATTTGGCACCATTCGCTATAGTAACAACCGATGGTGAGAAAACATGGGAAATATCAGAAAGAAGAGATGCGTTACCTGTCATGTGATCGGATGCCCCTGAATCAACGATCCAAGGTGTAGAAAAGGAAGCATGGAGACATGTATTACCTGAAGTAACGATAGTAGCGGTGGAGGTGGGCTGATTTGCACGCTCACGCTTTACCAGAGAATCATATTCGGCTTTGGAGAGAACGACTTGTTCATTTACAGGAGTGGGAGTAGTTTCCTCCGAAACCAAAGCTTGATTAGCCCAAGCTGGCTTGCCATGAAGAGCCCAAGAAGTCAACATAGTGATTGTTTCGGCCACAATAAGTACACTTTTTGCTGCCACGACCCCCTCTGCCGCCACGAGTAACACGGCCTAGGTTGGAAGGACCTCTTCCCCCTCGTCCTCCACGGAAAGTATCATGTCACTCAGTAGGAACAACAAGAGTAGAGTGGTTATCCTTCTCAATCACAGGTGCATGAATAGATGCTCTTCGAACTCAAGCAAAAGTCTCACTTGCTGTGGGTATCTCCTTGCCAGACAAAATCTACGAACTTATCGGAGCTAGTTCAGGTTTAAGTCCAGATTAAAATTTTGCCACCAGAAACTCCTCTCTGTGTCGTTCTTGTTGTTCTATGTCTGTAGTCAATGATTGGTAGACATTCAATTCGTCCCACATGCCCTTCAATTCTAAGTAATAATTTTCAACAGAACGATCTCCCTGCTTAAAAATATCCTGTTACAACTGATAAATACGAGAAATATTGTTCTCTGAAGAATACATGTCCCTGAGATTTTCCCAGATATCTTTGGCAGATTCTAGGAATGACACGTTGTTGAATATCTCAGGCTCCAAGCTGTTCCATAACCAAGTCATAATCTGAGCATCTTCTTTCTCCCAAGCCTCAATAATCTTTTCATCACTGGTGGGTTTGGTTGATTTAAGATATGACAGTTTTCCTCGAGCCCGTAAGAACACCTCTACGGCTCGAGACCATTGAAGGTAGTTTGAGCCTTTCAGGTTGGTGCTGGTGATTGACCCAAGTAGATGAGATTCCTTAGTATCCATCACAAGAGCTGCTGAACAAATGAGATATAGTAGCGAGAAGGAACCGAGATAAGAGAACCGAGATCTAATCGAGATGAACCCGAGAGAAATTATCGAGGAAAGTCGAGGAAGGATCCAAGAGAGATTGTCGAGATGAGAACTGAGATCACCGAGGAGTGATCGCCGAGAAGATATTGCTAAGAGAAAGCCAACGAGGAATCCGAGAAAGATTTCCGAGACGAGAACTGGAATCACCAAGGAGAGATCGCCGAGAAGCGATTGCTGAGAGAAAGCCGAGATAAAATCAAGATCGGAGTCTGAATAAGACTAAAAAAAAAAAAATTAAAGAGGGATCGATTTCCGCTCTGATACCATGTTGAAAGAGAGAGAGAGAAAGAGAATATATGAAAATGTATATTTTATTGAGTGAATAATACAATAATACAGTGTTGTTTATATAGGAGAACTTACGGTAGTAGATGAGTGGAGAACAAGTAAACCCTATACATGGTAATTTTATATATGGTAATGAGGGGTAGATGACAACTCATACAATACTAACTGTACACATGTAACAACACATACAATACTCTACAACGTGACAACTCATACAATACTGTAAAACAATTTTCATACTATATTTTGAAACAAGTGGGGGATTATTGAAAAATGTTTCAAAATATTTTTATTATATTTCTAAAAAATAAATATGTACTACATATATAATTAGAGTCAAATTATTTTGATTCATTCCCCCCTTTAAACAATTAAGTGTAAATGTGTTCATAAGTATATACATGTTTTTGGGTGGTTCATTCATCAACAAGTGAGATGTTTCTACACTTGATTTTTAGTATTCTAAATGAATCTATTAGATTCACCTAATTTTAGGATAAACCTATTCAAAGTTCTTTCATCAAATTTATGAGATACATTTTGGTAGTTGTGATAAAGTTTTCTCTTCTAATTTTCATACTTGGCATTTTGAAAAGAGGTTAAGTGTTGCACCCAATAGTGTATCATGCAAATACACTGTGGTTGGATCGAGTCCAAGCTTGGTTGAATCCGAGAAATAGAGTTGTCATGATCCCTTGCACCTTGTAAGAGGCTTCAACTATATTCAAGAATCATTTACGCGCCTCCAAGCTATGGTCCGAGTTTTCTTGAAAATTATATTTCCGCTATATATGTAAGTGCAAATGATTGTTGTAATTTATCATATTCTTTTTCCAACAGTCAGCCCATCAATTTCACCTGGGTGGTTCTCACCAAATTACTTATTCAATATAGGCTTTAGTAAAGTAATATATTAGTCCTGACGAAGAAAAACACTTTCCGGAATTGTGGATAACGAACAGGCTTGACATGTATATATATATTTTCTCTAACAAAAACAACATGATTAATACATGTTAGAAAAACATGAGATGAAAGAAAGGAAGTAACCTGCAGTGACGGAGAGATTCATAGCGCTCCTTGTCAGTCATAACAGTTTTGCCCTTGTACTTGTGGGTAACCTCATCATTGCAGCATCCGACAAGCAAATAAGTGTTGGGAAACCTACACACAGACACAGTCAGTTTGGGCATAAATACAAAACAATACAATAGTCATAACCTCCTCCTCGATTAATTTAATTATGTAGTAGTTCGTATAAATTTATTTGTCTCAATTAATTTAATTATAACCTCAAAAAACACGTAAGAACATACTGTAGATAATTAGAGAGCAAGTGATCATCATGTCGGGATAGAAAAAGACATAATTGGAAGAGAGTATTATGAATCAGAGGGAAAGAATTGAAAGAAAAAGTTGAAACTGATGGAAGTTAAATTACTAGTACATACAATTTCTTGGCTTGCTCGAGGGAACGGGCATGGCCCAAATGGAATAGGTCGTAAATACCGTCCGCATAAACACGAACCCTACCACCATTCCTATGCTCCTTCTTTACTTCTTCTTCTTCAATCTCCATACTCTCTGTCTCACACACACAACACACACTAATCCTCCACGACTCAATGGATCAGAATGGGCATAGGTTTGCGTACTCCTCCATTTTGTTGAACAGTAGTACATATTAGAGGACTGATATGCAGTCGCACGTGCGATACTTGCACAGTCGTATCAAATGTAAATTTATAGGATAAAAATACCCTTTTAATTTTTTCTTTCTCCTTACATTCTTTTGTTTTCCTCACACTATACACCTACGTGTGTGTAAATTGATTAATTGAGTATCTATATATATATAAACAACAGCTTTTCTTTTCAAGTAAATATATAGATTGATTATCTATATATACAAACAACGGTATATAGTTAAAAGACAATTAAAAAGAAAAATAAAAGAATCCATTAAAAAAAAAATAGAAAGAAAATAATCATAATTCATAATGAGATTGTTATTGATATATATATACACATATATGGATCAACTTAGGAGGGAAAAAATAATTAAAAATGCACTTTTGTCCTATGAATTTATATTTTAAATGTCTTGTAATGATAGAAGACAAGTGTCCTCTTGTAATTATTTTTAAACTTTTTTTTTAATATATATATATATATTTTTGATAATTTATGAGCTTCCATAAACTATTTGTAAGTATATAGACCCATCAAGCAACTAATCAACCAATTTTTTTGTTATTATTTTAAATAATAATAATTATTATTATTATTATTTAACTGCTACTACTATTTATTTATTGACAATTTACGAGCTTGCAATTTTTTTTTTTATAGGTATATGGATCCATCAAGCAATTTATTTTTGTTGTTATTTTAAAATTTTATTATTATTACTAGTACCATTATTATTGTTATTATTAGTTATTATTATTCTTATTGTTATTATTATTATTATTATTATTCTTATTGTTAATTCATAGGGTTTAAAAGTGATTCACATCTTGCAACTAAGCAATTTATTTTTGTTATTTTATTATTATTATTACTATTATTATGTTTTTAATATTAATATTAATATTAATAATATTATTATTATTGATATTGTTTATTATTATTAGGCAAAATTGCAAAAACTCCCTGAACTATTGGTTAGTTGCATGATGGCTCCTGAAGGGTATTAGGGGTATTGTACATTATGATATTTTATATTTTTTATATAAATTAATAAGTGGAGGTATTTTGGTAATTTTGACCCTCGTCGGAAAATGTGGTCGATCGAGGGGTTCTTTTTGCAACGTTGATATAAATGAGGGTTATATTTATAACTCCAAATAGTTCCAGTTATTTTTCACTTAAATTTTTTACACTTTGCCTAAATATTACCGATGCTTCTTGCTGGGCAACACATCTTAATACTAATAGTAGTAGTATTTGGATTTCTAGCTATCAAAGTTCCAACATTGCAGTCCACTGTAGCATACGGCATTTGGATTATGCTGAGAAAGGCTCGACATTTAATCCTCCTATTGTTCAATTTCATATAAAATTAAAATAGAGACCAATGATTCTCTTCATTTTAGTAAAACCAAAAAAGAATACAGAGGAATGAATGGCACAAGAAGCTACATGTGAAATTTAACATCAAACGTGGGCATGTAAGTGGGCATGTAAGTAAACAAAAAAACCGGGCCTATTATTTATATATATTTTAAGAATGAAGTTGAAAAATATAAAATAAAATAAATTCCTCCCCATTCCCATTCACTTTATCTCTTTCAATTTTCTTTTCCATGAAATTGGTTAAATAATTTTTTTTCCTCTTTTTTTAATTTTATTTTTCTTTTCCTTTTCCTTTTTACTGTCATGATCCTCTCAGTTTTTTTTTAATCTACAGTTATCTCCAGTAGAGAGGTAAGTCTGGGTTTTCTATATGTCCTAAGAAGCAAAGAAGAGCACACAACAGTTACAGAAGACAGAGCCATGCATGCACCAGCTGCCCAAGGCGGTAACTCAATCCTTATCCAAGGAAAGAAAACCCCTGCAGCAACAGGGATTGCAATCACATTGTAGGCCATGGCAAACACATAATTCCATCGTATACGAGTGAAGGTCTTTCTTGATAGATCAATGGCTGTGATAACATCTTCTAAATTACTCCTCATCAACACATAATCAGCAGCCTCTACCGCGATATCGGTTCCTGCCCCAATTGCCATACCAACATCAGCAGCAGCCAAGGCAGGCGAATCATTGATACCATCACCCACCATCGCCACTACACTTCCATCTTTCTGAAATGAACGGATTACCTCTGCTTTTCCTGCCGGCATCACCTCTGCCCTTACATCTTCAATACCAACCTGCCCACCAACACATGTTCAAAATTTTAAGCAAGTAAACTAATCTAACACAATGAACCAATAATAATTATCAGACGACGGATTGATGCAATGAAAAATAAATACAGACCTCCCTAGCAACTGCTCGAGCAGTCCTCCAATTATCCCCTGTAACCATGATAGGATTGACGCCCATTTTCCTAAGGCCTTCTACAACTACAGCTGCTTCTCTCTTTAGTGAATCTGCTACCCCCATAACACCAATGAGGGCATTATCATATGCAACAAGTATGCCAGTTTGTGCACTTTCTTCCAATTCAACAACAAAATTTTCAGCATGGATTGGAATGGTGACACCATTTTCAGTCAGCAGCTTCCGGTTACCAACCTGTGATGCAATTACTAACCCACTCAAAACTAATGAAGCATAATTTCTATTGCTTCAAACAAAAAGGGACATATATTAAAAAATAAATTTTAAAAAATCACAAATCTCACCAAAATTTGTTTTCCATTTATAAAGCACCGGACACCTTTTCCAGGCAGAGCAGAGAACTCAGTGACATCAAAAAGCCATCCAGGGAATTCAGAGATATTAAACTCTTTTCTGTAGTTTTGGGCATCCTTGGTAGCGGAAGACTCGTCAAAGAAGTGAAAGTGGTGGGCATATTCCATTATAGCTTTCGCCAAAGGGTGTTCACTGCTAGCCTGAACCATAAAAAATCAGCCAGAATCATTAATTATTCATTAATGTTTTACTGCTTAATTATAGAATAAGTGCTGCTGCACTCCCCCAGCCCCTCCCCCCGGGGCATCAAATAAAAATAAATAAACAAACAAAACAAAACATAAGAACAGGAAAAAGAAAAACAAACGTGGCATTCAGTTCTCAACCAAAGCTTGGTACTACAATGTACAGATGGCATGTTCTATTTCCCAAAAGAATGGTAATTCAATAAATGCCTCTTTTGTAGTAAAATCATCGAGGTGTTTATAGCTTTTATGGAGCACTGTAATAAAATAAAAAAATAAAAAAACTGGAAATGCTTCACAGGAGCCAAACGGAATTTGAATATTCTTGAAAAAGATGTTACCTCTGCCGAAGCTACCAATGTAAGGAATTCTCCTCGATCCATTTCTGTTAAAACTCTTACAGTTGTAACTCTGGCTTTTCCTTGGGTTAGGGTGCCTGTTTTATCAAACACTACATATTTAATCTTCTGAGCCCTCTCTAATGCATCTCCTCCTTTTATTAGCACACCATTAATAGCTCCAACCCCTGTTGCAACCATGACAGCAGTTGGGGTGGCCAAGCCAAGTGCACAAGGACATGCAATCACCACAACTGATATTGAAAACATGAGGGCAAAAACAAAATAATTGCCATTTTTGGGTAACCATTGCTCTGGGTAAGCTCCGAGAGCTCCACCAATGTACCTAAAAACAGCCAACATAATATAAATATGAAAATGTGGAATATATTAACATTCAATTTAGATCATTAATTTACTAGCCATATGACCATGCCAAATTAAGTTGTAAACTTACCATCCCAACAGCGTCAGCAATGACATGGCAACAACTGTAGGGACAAATATGCTTGCGACCTGTAAAATAAAAACAAACCTAGGGTAAGGATGCCATTTGAATTCAGAACTCATGTATATTACCAGAGCAATAAAATATTCTAAATCTTAAAACAATAAAATGGAAAAATATAGAATCCATTAAAAATGGAAGAAGCACAAAGTTTTAACGTGCCGCATAGTTGTTGGCAAAATAATAAGTTTGATGATAAAACTTATGGAATTCAATTCAATGCCTTCTATAAGTTCTTGTTCTAGACCAGTTGCTTTTATGGTACCTTTTCTCTTAGGAAGTTATCCCTGCCTGTACCACTAGCTCTCTTTCACTAAGAATCAATTCTAATAAAAATGAAAAGGTTTCTTTAGATTTAATATAATTCCATAACATGATTTAAAAGGCCTTTGCAAGGAGACAACCTTGCCGGAAATCTGATAAAATTGAAATATTTTAATACATTCAAAATTTCAAATTCAAGTTCATCATATCAGAATAAAAGGATATGCCAACATGGCAAGATATAAGATATATGTGCTCAGAACAATACAGATAGGAAACAAAGCAATCACATTATTGCATTTTATAGGTTAAAAACAAAGGCAACACCACATTGTCTACTCAACATATTGTTTGGTTAGTTTTTCTTTTCATTTTTTTTTTTCCTGGCACAAAACTCATGGGAACTTGAACCATCGACTTTATACTTTGAAAGGTGAGTAAGTACCACTGGGCTACAGCCTTTGGTGGTATACTGTTAGTTAGGAAGAATAGGTTTTACATTTTTCTTAAGAGCAGTAATTATGCAATATTGCTTCCAGGAGCATGCCAAGTAACTGATAAAATGAAATAGACCACTAGTACATCATAGTTTAATTGCACAATTACTACTTACAAAATCAGCAAACTTCTGAATAGGAGCTTTGGACATCTGTGCTGTCTCAACCAGACAAATTATCTGGCTCAAAACTGTGTTAGATCCTATTTTGGTGGCTTTTATATGAAGAGAACCATGTAAATTCATTGTACCTCCTATAACTGATGAATTGACCTCCTTCAAATTGGGAGCAGATTCACCAGTAACCATACTCTCGTTAACATAGCTTGAACCCCACACGACCATGCCATCAACAGGAACCTTTGCACCGGGAAGAACTTTTAATATGTCACCAGGCTGAATCAGCAAAGCATCAATTTCCCTTTCTCCAGTGCTCTTCCCATCTAGGAAATCAACAAAATGAAACCTACTCATTTTCAAGGTTCCAAATATCATTCTCAGTATCAATTCGCCTAGTAGTGAACCAAGAAAGTTACCAGAATTAATTTTTTTTTTTTATTCTTCAACTTCATTGACATACTGTAACTTTAGAACAGCTAGGAAATAGGTTAAAACTACCAAAATTAATGCACCTCACAAACTATCCTCAAATTACAATCAGGCAAACATACCTTTGTCTTTCTCAAGCAACAAAGCAGTCGCAGGCGCGAGTTCCACTAACTTCTTTATAGCATCTGAAGTTTTCCCCTTGGCAAGTGTTTCTAGATACTTTCCCAACAGCACAAATGTTATTAGCATAGCACTTGTTTCAAAGTATGTTGGGGACCAAAACCCAGTCACTGCACCATATAGAAGTGCGCACACGGAGTAGAAATAAGAGGCTGAAGTACCCAACGCAACCAACACATCCATGTTTGTAGAACCATTTCTTAGTGCTCTGCCAGCTGCAATGTAGAAACGCTTCCCAACAACAAATTGAACAATAGTGACCAATGCCCAATTCAACCAATCACCAATCCGGAACAGCCCACTTTGGCGGAGCAACAAAGAATACAACAGAGGTATGTGAGGGCAGACTACTCTCATCAGGAAGACGGGAACCTGCACCAATTGTAAGGACTTGGTAATGAGTATCTTAAAACGTTTGTTATTATAAATTTTACACGGTAGAAGGTCAGACCTCTGGGTTTATCTCCTTTTAAAAGAGAAAGGTCTTTGGTGGGTCATTCCTTGAGTATTTTGTATGAGAAACATATTCCCAAAAAAACAAATTAGCAAAGCATTTGTTCAAACTTATTTTGCATTTCACAGGAAATATCCAGTAAATGGTTTCTAAATAATCCATCCAAAGAAAACCGATCTGAAGAACGAATTTGTTGAAAATATGAATTAAAAAAAGGAAATAAAAAAAAAATTACTCACACTGAGAATCAGACTAGCAGTAAAGAGCCGAAACATATTTGAGGATTCTTCTAGGTCTTTAGAAGCCATTCTCGTGTAAGGGTTCTTAACATGTAATTTGAACTTCCCAATGCTTCCTTCCTCAATATTATCAACTAAGGATCTAGAACCAACAACTTCGGGATCAAAGAGGACTTCTAGTTCTCCTGATGACCTGCCAAAACAAAATTGTCTCACTCCTTTCAAGTTGCAAAGTATGCTTTCCAAAAGCAGTATATCCATTTCATTAGATATTCCAGCAACCCCCAGTATGATTTTATCCTGCTCACTGCTCTGTACAAGTGCAGCTTCAAAACCAGCATCTTCAATTGCATTAACTATAGCATCCTTACTAATCACAGTAGGATCATACTCGACTTCCCCTAATGAAGTAGCCAAGGCAACTGCTGCCCTTTTAACTCCAGGGAGCTCTCTTAAGATACCTTCAACAGAATTCACACAAGCTGCACATGTCATACCTCCTATTGTGAACTGTCCCAACAGGGTTCCCTGTGGCTTTGTTTGAGATGCACTAGGTTCTGGTAAAATTTCTGCCTCAAACCCAGCATCTTCTATTGCATTCTTGATGTCTTCTCCCTGAAACAATAAATAATCACTACATTTGCTTGGACTAAAACCTCTTAGTCATGTTAGTTAGTTGGTATGCAGCATTGAAAGCAAGTCCATCCAAAGAAGGACAAGATAGCATATCCAGAAAGTATTGGCCTAACAATAGCACATAAACAAATTACAGATTTTGAGAATCTGAATATACAAGATAGATAATATGATAATTGAAAGCCAAAGTGAAAACTATGCTAAAACCAAGAAACTTAAAAGATGCTAGGGCCATCCAAAGAAGCTAAATTAGTTGGTAAGTGGCATTAAAAGCAAGTCCATACTAACAATAAGATAAACATAACACTTTTGAAATGTAGCAACCAGACAGTGTATAAAGAACAACAATTCGTGATTTTTAAAAACCTTGCTAGACACTCTATACAAGACTGAAGATACTAAAAGCCAAAGCAAAAATGCTAGAACCAATATATCCACACTTCTAGAGTCGTGAATTTGACAGAAAACATCTAACCGGAGTTTCTATATAGTTCACAACAGCAAAGAGAAGACGAATTAGAAATATCCAACAAGAAAGGTATAATTGTTAACTTCTGCTTGAAACAAGTTAGTTCAACTAATGAACCGAGTAATTGATTTAAGTGCAGAAAAGCACATGTTGCAAACGAATTAAAATACGATCTCTGAAATACCTTTCAGCTTATCTGGAGCTGTATCGTCTCTTAAAGCAAGCCCACTAGGAATGCCTGACATTAAATTGCAGAGGATTCATGTTCAGAAGGAAGGTCCATAAGTTTTACATCGGCCATCATTCACCATTAAGTAAGTCTCTTATCTAAAGGTTGGGACCACTAGTGCCACTATAACCCTCCAAATGAAGCCAAGTTTTAATCAATGATGATCCAAAAACTTCCCAACTAACAAATGAACAAGAACACATAATAAAAATTTCAGCAATCACACATAAGCAACTTAGTGTCATAAAGTCCAAAAACCCCCCAAAATAATAATAATAATAAATAAATAAATAAACAATAGCTCTTCATGAATCGAGATCCAATAAAGCCAACATCACGACCCATATGAATAATTAGAAATACAGAAAGAAAAAGTTAAGTATCATAAAGTCGAGAAAAGAAAAAGATGATGATGTCTAGTTCTGAATCATTGACCCACGATCCAAGTATCATCTAAAGCTAGTTAAAATGTATAATTAGGAGAATGAATGAGATGAACATAGTAAAGGAAAAAAAACTAACATTGAGCAAATTGGGATCAAAAACGACTTGGGCCTTGTTCTGAAGCAAAGCGACTGAAGCTCGGAAGACCCCATTGAGGGTGATGAGAGCTCCTTCGACCGAATTGGAACAAGCCGCACATGTCATCCCTGTCACTCTCACTTGAATTCTTTTCATACCTTCTTCCTCTGAAGCCACCAATTTATTTGAATTTTCCTTTTCATACGAATCCAGAAGCCGTACGTCTTCGCGGTCAATATCAGGCTGTTTTGGGCCGGCGGTGGTGAGCTGGAGGTCTCTGGAACTCGGCGCCATTGAAGGAACCAAGGAGACAGCAGACCAGAGCAGAGGAGGAATAATGTAGAGAGAGAGGGACAAGGTAAAGCAGGTAGAGAAAGAGAGTGAGTTGTTTTTTTCAAGAGAGAAAAACAGAGAGCGAGTGAGAGAGAGTGCTTTCCTTCCTTGCGAGGGACGTGGTGGAGGCAGCAATCTTTTTTGTAAGCTATAAAGTAGAAGATCTGGTACAGAGATATAATAGTTTTTTTTTTTTTTTTAATTGTCAATTTTGTCCTTTGTACTTCCTCTTCTTTTTGTACTGCAACACAACCAAACCAGCTAACTTAACTAATCCACCACACCTGAAATTGTTCTGATGTGATTTAGAAACAATTTCTTCACATGCCAAGCTAAACACACCATTACATATTTCACCCTCTCCATACCACACAGATACCAGAAGTCTAATGCATATGCAGTAATGTAGAAAACCAATCTGAAAAATTATGTTTGAATTTGGAATAATAATTTTTTATATTGTTATACTTTTAATAACCAAATATCATTAGAATTTTCATTTTCATTTAATTTTAATCAAATTTAAAACTCAATCAAATTACTAGAACTAATACATAAAATGCAATCTTTTCCCATGTTCCTAAATTTTACCGAATGGTTTGGCCAATTCAAATTCAATTATACATATATTTTTGTTATTAATTTTTGTATAGAATAAATGACAAATAGATGTTATTTCTTTTATTTACTTATAAATATAAGTTATTCAACTTAACAAATTTTTTTCTAAGACTTAAGTCAATTACTTATGCTTTGCTTTGTACGAGGAAAGAAAAAAAGTAACTGCAAATCAATGGCATTGATCCTATAATTGTTGGAAGCCAACTCCACTAACCTCAATAGGTGACGAATAATTGAATTTGATTGGTTCATAAACAGACTTAGATTGAGCGAAATTCCTTGATACTTTTTTTGGCAGGTAAGAATAGATGAAGTGAAGTAAAAGATTTTATATTTTTTTTACCAACATACTTTCATTATATAAACTAATAAAAAAGTAAATATTAATTTTAAATTAATAAGGGGTCTAACAAAATAATTTGGTACATAATTGAGAAATAAAAATAATATTTTATATTTATAGAACAGTTTTTCTCTTTTTCCTTCAATCTTTCGTCCAATTTTGGAGTTCCAAACAAAGCATTATACACTTGAACCTACTTTTTCTACTACTTCTGTCTTGATGTAAAGTTAATAATTTTTTTTTTTCCCCTTAAATAATGCTCTTAAGAGGATCATGTTACGAGAAGAGCCATAAATTCAGTTTTTATGAAAGATATGAAAAGTCAAATAAATTATTTAATACATCATCCAACCTAATAAAAAATCAAATAAACATGATAAGCTCATTACTCTTCTATGAGCTTAGAAGCATTACTCTTCTTTTTTTTCCCTATTTTACCTAGGCAAGAAATACTCACACCCCTCTTTGTTTGTCTTATGAGAACTTCAATCGTACGCCTTCCAATTTAAAAGACGATAAAATATCACTGCTGCTCTCTCTCGCTCTCTTTACTCTATGGGTAACTTACTTTTATTTTCCTTATTCTTATTTCTTTTCAAAAATGCACTGTTGCATAGCATTATATATATTTTTATTAAAGTATTTGTCTATGCATAGAATAGTGGCCAAAATTTTGAAAACAAAAAACGTTTCAACACTATAGCAATGAACAGAATTTAAAAAAAAAAAAAAAAATCTTAAATGACAATTTTTACTAACCATTATATTTTTCAAATTTGTCATACTTTTTTACAGAATATATATTTTTATATTTTTGTTTCTAAAAATCTTATAACACATAGACTTTACTAAACATACTTCTAATTACTATTTAAAATACTTTATAATAAAATACTTATTTTATTTCAAATTAAAACAAAAACACAAAAATTAAATCAGTTTCAAATAGAACTTAAAGAGTAAATTCAGAATATCTACAAGAGTATTGATTTCAAATTTTGATAATATAAAGTAAAGGAAATTACTTCATGGAGGAGTGGATTGGATTGGAGTGGAGTGGGACCAAACAAATCTTGTTGGAAAGATGACTTCATTTCCACTAGTTAATCAGGATTCAGGACTAGAAAGTTAAAAAGAAATTCCAATAATTATAACACCATGCATCTATATATATATATATATATATATATATATATATATTTGCATTTCATTATCCTTGAACCCAAACATATCCTACAGGCGAGACTCAAATAGTGCTTGACAAAATATTTCATAATTAATTTTTTTTGAATTTTTTTTTCTTTCTAAAAATGGCTTAGAGCATTTATAAAAATTCTAGGCTATTAGATAATTAAAACGCCCAAACATGAAAACAATATAATTAATTCGTTGCACTTGAAGGGGGTTTGTGTGTGTGTGTGTGTGTCTCTCTCTCTATATATATATATACATATAACTCTTTTAATATATAACAGTACTGATCTAACAATGGGATATATCAATGGCCTAAAATCAACCTGTTGTACTTGATGCTTTTGAATTGTCAAGGGTAGTTTAGTAATTTTCTATCAAATGAATTTGGTTGGTGAGATGATCGTATAAGTAGTCCTTTTAAGGGCTGCTAGGGTATGAAAGAAAGATCATATATAGTTGCTCTCGTTTTCATCTCATGCTGAAAGGTTAATCTGGACTATTTTTATTTCGATTAATCTGGACATTGAATTAGGAGGGATCCACGTCCAAATCAAGGGAATATATATACATATAATATGTTTCCTTGTAAAAGTGGCATGTTAGGTGACCAAATTAAGACCATATGTATATGTAGTTGGTGCAACGTCAAACACCATATACATATATATATATATATATATATATGTATGTGTGTGTATATTATAGTATATATGTGTTAGTTACATATGACCCAATAAGAAATGAACGGTTGTTGAACCATCCTACCACCAGTGTCAAGCAATATCCATTTGTTGGATGCCACGTGGCATCGTCTCCAACAAGTCGCAATATCTTTTTTTTTTTTTTTGGCTTAAGCTGATGACCAAGAGTGTATGTGGATTTAGCATGCGTTAATCCAAAGGTGAGACAATGAACATTAAAACTTAAAAGGAAAGTCTTTAGTTTTTTAACAACAGTTTTCAGGAACAATGATTTTTTATTTTTATTTTTAAAAAACTCCATTATCAAAATAGAAAAACTTATTTGGTATATAGTCAAACTAGTTTTTATTATTTTAAGAGTTAAAATCATAAAACCTCCTCTATTTTTCATTTTTTATTATAAAAGTAAAAATTCTAATACTATTACAAAGTTATTATATTGCCCCAATTCTGTCGAGGAATCGTTAAGGGCTTGTTAAATGACTAAATTACTCGATATACCACTTTATTTAAATAAAAAAAAATTTGAAAATTTTCAAATTACAAAATTACCCTCAGGCAAATATTATAATTTTGTTCATGTTAAATAAAAAAATCTTTTGTAGAATTCATAATTTCCGTAAACAAAAAATTAAATAAGTCATTAAAATATCATTATTTATTTTATATTCTTGAAAAATTGAATCATTTTCATACTTCAAAAAAATTGACTAATTACTACACAATTTAAAAATTGACAACAATTAGGATAGCTAATAATTTTTTTCAAATATATTTAAATGGCAAACTAATAGAATTTGGATAACCACTAAATTTTGAATAAAATTCTAATTACAAAAGTTTAATTCTTATTTTGAAAAATGGTATAAATAAAAAAGCGATTGGTTCAAAACTCAATTGAAAGAAGATTTCCAATGTTAGATTTATTGTATCTCTAAAAAATAAATAAAATGAAAGGCTTCATCTGTGTTTAAAAAGGAAATGCATAATTTGATGGTAAATTTTTTAAATAAATATTTTTAAAAATATTCTTTTAATGCCTTCAGTTATAAATTATTTAAAATTTTAATTCAAACATTAAAATTCAATCATATTTTCAGTGGATGAGTAAACGGTGGCTTTTATTATTTAACATGCTTAGGGGCATTTTTAGAATAACAAAAAAAATTGTAACAACACATGGTTGACAAATGTTTTTGTAGGGGTAATTTTGTCACTAAAAATATTTTGCTAATACAAGTGAGTACTTTAACGCCCCAAACTAATAAAATTGGGGCAATGTGATAACTTTGTAATAATGTTGTGGTTTTTAGAAACAAATCTAAATGTTATGATAAAAAAAATTGAAAGTTAGCAGGATTTTATGATTTTAACCTTTATTTTAATTTGAAACTTGACAATTAAACAATTTTTTTGTACAAAATGAAAATTAAAAAATTATTCTAGAAAACTAAACTAAATAGTCTCATTTTACCTTCATCGAAGGAAAAAAAAAAAACTTGTAAATTGCTTCTATTCAATTGTTTATAGGGTATGACACCTCATCTGGAGTTGATGATACTGATAACAAAACCAACTAGCTTGCCAACTACTTTCCCACCATGTCTCCCACTACTAATCGAAGAAACCTTCTATCTGCATCATGTATGGTGGAAAAAAGCATGCACGATTAGCTAGATTTTGGGTCGAAAAAACGGAAACTATGCTTGAAATATCGTTTCATACTTTCCCACAAATAAAAATAAAAAAAAAATTATATTTCTAATTTCCAACATAATTAAAATGAAATTTACCTGATATGATTATCTAGAATTTTTCATATGAGGTAAATTTCATTGTAATTATATTCAAGTAAATTTTGAATTAAAATAAGGGTTAAAACTTAAAATTATAAAATTCTACCTACTTTTAAAATTATGTATAGAACCCAGTAGAATTAAAAACACCTGAATTAACAAAATTTATCGAATTACTTCCAAATTAATAATATATTTAAAGAAAAATTTCACCCTAGTCCTACTTTTGAAGCCTAAAGACAATCAAGTCCTAAAATAATTTTTGTGGACAAACAAGTCATACTTTTGGTACTTATTTCCAAATCAATTCAAATTTTTTTTATTATTTATTTTCAACATTACCCTTTTTTGTCCTTTTCAATAATTAGGGTTGGGAATCTTCACCTTCTTTTTCGCACGGATTAAAAAACATTCTTCTGCCTCTTCGATACGGCTAGAGAGAGCTCCCTCAAACAAACGAAGAGAAGCACATGCCAAGTCAAGAAAACGAAGCAAGGCGAAAACCATTTTGCTTGTTCATCATCATCCACCATTTTTTCCGGTGATTTCAGGTAAGATAGCATTTCTTTCTATTCTTTTATTTGAAACTTTATCTTTTAGATTTAGATTGGGGGAATTGATGATTGGCCCAGATTCAGACTACATGCAGAGTTTTAATTAGGGTTGGGATCTCCATTCTCTCCTCTTTTATTTTCTCTAGTCACTTAATGCTTCTATAAACTCATGAGAGATACTATTAACTCGGGTTCTATTAAACTATGCAGTATGTTTCCTAATATGTTTTTTTTTTTTTTTTTTCTGTTAAGCAATCCTGATTTGTTGTTAATTAGGATTGTGTGGTGATTATTTTTTCATAGATATATATTTATAATTTGATGGTTAATTCAACAAGTGATGTGATTCTTTACTGAAATTTTTAAAGAAGCTGGCTTGATTTTTGACTTAGAAGGTTGAAGTTTTGGTAAAAATTCCTGCATCACATCTACAAGCATACTTTTTGGCATGATGAATTGTTGGCTTGATTTTTTTGTATCAGGTTTTCTTCCTTTGATACTGTAATTGATGTAATGTATCGGACAATTATTGAGTTAATTGATTATTCCATTTTTATGTATCAGGTTTTCTTGATCTAATGTATTAGACAATTATTGAGGTTGAAAATTGGATTATTCCATTTTTATGTATAAGGTTTTATTTGATATTGTAATTGATGTAGTGTATCAGACAATTATTGTGGTTGAAAACTGGATTATTCCATTCTCATGGATAATACTAGCTAATTTAATGTGTTCAAAATCCTCAATGATTACATATTTGCTTTTGTTGAGTATATTCATTAATTTTTTATCCATGGAATGTAAAAGTATATTGATATGAATAATATATACAAAAGTAATAATTCAGCTTGTGAACATTCCAAAAGAAGAGAAAAGCAAGCAACAATCAAGGGACAAACAACTGTCTCAACTATTTGGGTGCATCTCTTGTATGTTACATGAATTCTAAAGGATAGGAATGTACGGTGGTGTGAGAACTAAAGAAGGATTTTTATTCACCATGTTCTTATACAACTATATACATATAGATGATCATATTATCAAGTCCTTGTATATTTTTTTTTTTTTTCTGTGTATCAATTTGTTTGGTAATTTCACTGCAATCCTATGTTAATTTTCTAACATTCTTGAAAAGATGATGAAGATTCCCCGGCCTAATTATTGAAAAGGACAAAAAAGGATAATGTTGGGAAAAGAAAATTGAACTGATTTGGAAATAAGTAGCAAAAGTAGGACTTGTTTGTCCTCAAAAATTATTTTAGGACTTGATTGTCTTTATGCTTCAAGAGTAGGACTAGGATGGAATTTTCTCTAATTTAAATGGGTTGTGAAATATTAATTTTGACCTTAGTATTTAATGTTTAGTTAAAGGCTACAATTATTATTTTAAAATTACAAAAATAATAATTGATAAAACAGTATGGAATAATTAATTCCAAATATCACACAGCCAGAGTGCAATGTATTTGTGTGCAAGTTACTCTTCTAAGTTCTAATAGAAGAACTGAAGAAGTAAGAGGCCGGAAATCTACCAGAGGTACCATAACTCACTCAAAATCATTTGGGGTTCATAAAAAATCCTCACAGTGAGCATCATAAAATATCCTCATAGGTAAGCATTCCTAATATTGGTCAAACTTAATTTGGAGTTCTCCTAATTTATTATTATTATTATTATTTGTTTTTTGAGAATGATAAAGCAATTGAGTCCGGCCTTCGGGACTTGAACTCATAACTTCTCTTTAAAAAATATGAACTACGTACTGCTGGGCCACTGACTCAGTGATAATAACTGGGCCACTGACCTATTGATATTTATTAATTATCTTCGATCATTAGAAAATCACGTCGGGGTTGGGTGTTAGTCCCACCTAATAACTTAAGTTTTGGGGTCCGATCGAAAAACACTTACTTATTACAGTTGGTATTAGAGTCAAACCCAGACATTGATCCTTTGTCACGCCAATTGCTCGACCCAGAATGCATCCGAGTCTACATCCTGAGTAAGTAAGGTGACTCGACCCACAACGCCCTGGGTGGAAAAGAATGTAACAAGTGGGTCGGCCGGTCATGCATGTATGCTTTGTGTGTATATATTTATTGTAATTAGTTTTTTTGTCTTACGTACGAGTTACTCTTCATCAGAAATTATTAATGTTTTATTTATTTATATATATTATATATATATATTTTTCGGAAAGTTATATTATATATATATATATATATATATATTGCATCAATGAAATCGAAAATTGCCATTACAAATCACTATATAAATAGAGATATATATCCCTCCCCTCCCGGGTCCACCTAAGCATCTTTTCTGGCGCTACCACTACTAATTGTAAGTGTATGGTATCTAAATGTTTTTAGATTTTTCTTTTTTTCAGTTTTTGTTTCACTCAACAAAACCTCTCCTGTTTCCCCTTGGCATTGCTCCTTATTGCCTTGTCATTAGAGGAATTGAATCTAATATACTGCATTCAATATATTGCCTCTTCCACTACTTTCATCCCAAATTGAAATAAAGATTAAAAAAAGAGGCATCCAACAACAAGAAGATGGACGCCACATAATCAAATCATGCAATCCTCTCGTGCTCAGAAAAAGAATATAAATCAAAATCATATCAATCCTTTCATACTCAAAATAAGCCGACGCCGAAACATTTAATTCACACAATAGCACTTCATACACATATAAAAATAAAAAATAAAAACACCTGTATAAGATTTACAGGCCTTATTCTTACAAAATTAAGATACAACATACCCTCTCAAATCAACATCGCTAGACAAAACTTAAACTAAAATGAGATTTCACAAGGTGCATGAAATGTTCTTCCACGGCAAATAGCTTCTAGGTTTTCTCCAGCATAAGAACAAAGTGGTGAAACCTCCACACCTAAGCTCAAGATCAGAGAGCAAAAACATTAAGACAATAAAAGAAAATGATTAGAGAAGTTCTTTTTTAGTTTCTCATGTTACCCTTTTGATTCACTACTATCTTCATGTTTTAAAATCCATATCATATGTGCCAGTTGTTCAGGGAGCCCCCCTTTTTTTTTGCTCCTCCATTTGCTGTCTCTAGTTCAAATTGAGCCAGAAACCCAAAATGATCAGAGTAATCTGATGTTCAACTAAATTATATGACCAGGGGCGTGTTTGGGTTTATGCTTTCAATTTGTCCATTTACCTTTTACATGGCCAAAGAAATTTATCACCACGAACAAGGCCGCTAATGAAAGAGAGAATTCACAATTTCTAGGTATAAAATCAATTTTTAGCTTCTTTTCGAAAGACAAAATTGAACATTTTCTATCCTCACCATCTAAGTGATGCTAAAAAGTGAATAGGACCTTTCCAATTAAACGGGGACATCCAAACATTCCCAAAGCATTTCAACCAGACCAAACCTTACTCATAACAAGGGTTAATTCGCAACTCATTGATCACTCTTTTGATCGTTTATATCAAATTGGAATCCTATACATGTCAATTGACACATAAAAATAAAATAAAAATTACCCGTTGCATATAGGGGCACCGAATGCGTTAAGAAGCCACCAGCAGCAACCACCCAACGAGTGTGGAGACGGAGAACAAGCAGTCGGGCACTATCTGGAGTGTCAAAATTTGATCCATTGGCATTTTTTACTGGTGCAAATTCTTCTTCACGCAACACCTAAATATTGGACAACCAATACCCAAGGATATATGACAAGTAAATATTTGCACCCAAAAAAATAAGACAGACTAATAATTTTTATTATTCCTCCTAGGCAGCACAAGAAGCAGAATAAAGTAAGCATATGGCATCGGAAGAAAAGACAACAGATCACCTCGAAAAGAGCTGTGGAAGGTGCATATGGAAATGCATCAAATATAAACTGCTCTAATTTGTAACCCATTGTATGTCCATGTATTGAAGGGATTTTCTTCTCCGCAAGATGGTAACTGCACTCACATTGGATAGCTTTCCACATCAATATCTAAGAAAATGATTCGACATTAAAAAAAAAAAAAAAAAATTTAGTTGAAGAAACATGTCAATAATATTCTTTAAAAAAAAAAGTTAGATAGGCAAAAATAACAATGCCAAGAAACCAGACCACTAAGCACAGTCCTCAAGTAGGAATCAATTATGCATCTGATCTGATTGAAGGTCTAGCACTTCTTGGATAACTATAAATGATATAGGGACATTTGAGACAACATATTTTATATAATAAATCTAATATGTAAGGGTAACGAAGTGTGACATATGAGATGGCAGGGCCATTGGGAGTCTATACAAGGAAGCAATATAATTCTAGGGGCATTAAGCTGCTAGGACTAGCGGAAGGCCAAAAGAGGTGTAAAAGGAGGACAAGAAAAAAGACCCAAAAGCCAATTTTCTAACACTGATAATGGTCCAATAATAGTACATAACAAGCCATTTACGATAAAATGCGGTTGATATTTTAATGTTATTGATAAAAGACATTGATGAGTATCTAATCTACATCTTTTTTGAAACATGGCTTGATTCTATGTGACTATCAAGTTAGTCTTGAGTTCAGGACTTCAAATGTTTATTCACAATTTTTCATCGTCACCCACATCATAATTAAAAATGTATTAAAAGGTATAAACTCCAACAGAGGAAATAATCACAGAAGGATAATATCAAATGGCTGAGCAACTGAAAAGCTGTCTCATGACTTATAGATAAAGACAAACATTTCTTCTAGTTATTGAATATGTTTGTCTGTATTCACTTTGCAAACATTTTAGATTAACTCATAAAAGTCTAGTGTGGTAAATAATCAAATTTTGCCCTTTCATACAATAGATTTGATATCTTAATGGTTTATGAAACCAGGAAGAGACAAATCAGATAAAATTAGACAGGACCATCAAATTTATTGTTACAAGTGAGAGACTGGAGATTGAGGAAACTCTTAAAAAATCTACATTAGGTGCAGTCACACACGTTATATAATAAATGAAGATCTAGATAAGGTGCTGAGTCTGTGGAACAGGAGTGGCATCTATTATATCACAACTCAGTTCTTCGTGATGGATGTGACAAATTCATTAGAACAATTTATCTGCTAGATATATTTTCACATGAAACCACAGAGTAAAATTAGATTTAATATTAGTAATATTTTTTAGTAAATAGAAAAAAGTCAAACATTTCGGAATCATAGAGACTCAATTGATAACATCAAATGTAAAATAGAAAAAGTAAATAAAAACCCCTGCAAAATAAGAAAAATAGCATTGCATACATGCTGTCTTTCTCAAGGCCATTTGCCACTTGGTTCAGAAAATCCAAAGTAAACATATGCAAGCAGACCTGAAAAATATAAAGCGCACCAAGATTTCAGACAGACGGGAGCTAACAAAAAGAAAAACGGAAACATTTTTTTTTCTTGATAAGTAAAAAAGAGAGCAGAAACATACTTAAATCATTATTTCATTTTAAAACTTTTAAGCATGCACATCGAAGTGCTTAAGGCAATGTGATTTGCTATTAGATCAAATTTAAGTGCAACCTGTAGAAGATAGAGAAGGAATTCCAGCATGCTGGTAAAAAAAGAAAGGAACACCACCAAAATCTAGCCAACTAATTATCAAGTATAGAAGTCATTCTGTACTTATATTCTTATTTCTCACTGAACCAGCTTCTCCTTCATTAGGTGTGGAAGCAAGTTAGAACATTAGCTGGGACCAGCGACCTGTCATCTTAATCTGATGAAACCTATTGGTAATATTAGCAATAAATAATCACATTGCTGCAACGTTCATGGCTTAGAAATATCATTTCTATTAGTTGTGACTATTAGATTTTTTGTTATTTATTTACTTATTTGGAGCCATTGTTAGATTAATCTAGTCAGCTTCTAGTCTAATAATCAAAATAGCTGAAGGTTAAAACCATCCAACTTATTATACTCATACTCATCTATCTTATACGAACTATGTTGTCTTGATACCTTTAGTTTCCGTAGGCCAAATATGCTCATAAAAATTCTCCAAATATAGGAACAAATTATTTAACAAAAAAAGTTAAAAATAATAATAGTAATTTCAAGCAATTTATTAACATATAATACCATTATTCAATCCAAGAACTTGAAAGATTTTTAAATGGCCAACTATTTTGAAAATGTCATCTGCAGGCAGTTTGGTCTCAAAACACAATAGTTAAATAATTACAAGAAAAAAAAAAAAGTAATTAAATTAAAAATTAAAAACAAGCACAACCACATAACAATATCAATAAGTACTAGAATATGCAAGGTGAAAACAAACTATACATTACTCCAACAAAAGCGAAGACGTCCAGTTCCCTGATTTATTTCACTAGCCAGTGACGGGTCCAACTCATTGTATTCAACAACAGAAAGAGGTCCACCTTTACCTCGCCGTACAAACACACCAACCTTTTCTTGCGGATATGCCTGCATAGATTGATCAAGAAATTTAACATGTAAAAAACTAAACAAATTGCATTGAAGGAACTTCCAACATAAAATAAGAGTAATGCCCGCATCTAAAAATCAACTCTAAATAGAATACTGAACATCAACATTGTTCAACTCGATTAAATCCAATTGACACTGAATTTCTTGCATCAGTGAGATTCAAAGCTATTTGTATCATCGTGCAACCTTTGATATGGAATTTTTTTTTTTCCTAGTTGGTACTCACACACACTCGTCTCTTCTGAGACTTGAACCCCTAACCTCCCTTTGGGAAGTAAGAGGCTGATACCGCTAGGCCACTGGCCCGATGGTCCTTTGATATGGAATTTAAATGTTCTTTTTTCTGTATATAATAACGTCCTCAAGAAATAAGTAAAATGAAATTACCAATAGAAAGGAGTAGTTTGATGATAACAACAATAAAGTCCAAAAACTCTTAGTGATCGACAAGCTGGTTCAATGAGGATCTTATGAGGAGAAAGATGCTTCCAAATTAGTACTTTATCAGTATGGGAGTTGAGGAGACTGTTAATCATCTTCTAAAGAGTTGCTCAGTGGCTAGAGAATCATGGTACCTTCTTCCCTCAGTTTCTAGTGTGCACTAAAAATGCCAAGTTCTATGTACGAGGAGTTGGATTACTGGAAGAAGGTTTTGCCAACTCACTGCAGGAGAGTTGGGACACTTTGACCCTGCTCCTTCCCGCGTCCTTCGATGTCTTTGGAAGCAGAAACATAGATATCCTATTTATGGGGCAAAGTTGCCAAGTCAAAAGCTGAAAAAGTTTCCTTTTGAATTCAATGTCCTTAAGTTTTGGCTCATAGGTACCAAAATGAAGTATTATGTGATGTACCTGCCACAGATGCGGTAAATATTATTGGGTAGGCCATTTCCAGTATGATCTTACTGCTACTGTGCAGCATGATGGTCAGAGAAATACTTGTACCTTACATAAGAATAATATTTTGGTCCAACCCAATATGAGAGCATAATGAGCATTCGCAAGCCTAAGCAAGGGGAGGATGTTATTTTGTGTCGCTAAATTTGTGAAGGAAGCAGAGGAGAGTCGTGTTGTTTTTTGTCTTAACAGGGAAGAACTAACATTGTCTGCAATATATAGGAAGATGTGAAGCCTATTCTTAAGGAGCTTAAGGATAATGATACAATAAATGTTGCTCCCTGGATTGCCTCCAATTAGACATGCAACGTCATTTTGACTTGATGCCTAAAGCAAGGTTACGTAATAAATCCCATCATGCACAAGCCTGGAAAAACGAAAAAGTAAGTCCTCACTAAGTTATACATTTTCTAGCAACTAAATAACTGTCACTTAATTCAGAATCAGATGACATTTTTCAGATCATTCTTTTTCTTTTTCTTTTTCTTTTCCCATCAGGGTTCGGGACTGAGGAAGCAAACGTAAAATAATGTTTTTGATTGAGGCGTTTCAATCGTTATAAAGCAATAATGTAAATAAATTGAATTATTGGACATGCTTTTGAGGTGCATGTCAAACCAAATGTGTGAAATACATATCACATAACCAATTCCCAATGTTATGTATTGAACACAGCTACTTCATATAATTTTAAAGATTACATGTAATATAGGATATGATAGCCTTTTCAAGTTCTGCAACAAATTTAACATAAAAACCCAAAAGAACCAAGAAGACTAACTCACCTTACGAACGACTTTCGCACCAGCAGCTACCCCTTTGTCGATGAAATAACCCAAGAAAGTTGGATCAGCAACACGGACCTGCTTTCAAAATACTAATCACTGTCACTCTAATGGAATAATTTTCTAGAGAAATTCAACTGACAAGAAGAGAAACAGGATTAAAGGGAAAGAGAAGAACTCACCAGTGCATTGTCTACTCCATAGCAATCCAAATATCTAACCCCTCTCGTGGCCATATCTTCCAATAATCTTGAATATTTCAAAGCTGATTAATTGAAAACAATCAGTATTGTTCAAAGAATGGAAGCATAAACTAATAAAATCAATCAGCATTCCATCCAAACATCATTCTCTAATCTTTTTATTTTTTTTTATAAAAAAAATACCTGAATAAACTCCTCCATTTCCATCCGGAGCCTTTGCTACCTGGCTTTAATAAATTAGATTCATGTAACAACCACATTTTGTTGAATTTATTCAAATAGAAATAATTAGTGAAAAATTATATGGATGCAACGAATTAAATAGAAACTGTTCAACCAGATTTTAACCACTTCTATCAAAGGCCTACAAGAGTTTCAAGCATTTCTCTCAATTGTATAAGCTTTCTTCTTGTCCTTTCAGAAAAAAATAAACATTAAAAACAAAAGGAACAGTTCTATTCCCTGTGAAGTTTTTGAGTCATGTATTACACATCAAAATTGTTATACGCACAATGTCAATGTCAACGAAATGATGGTTTAGGACTTCATAATCTCCTAATAAGGTTCTAAACAATATGTCACAGTTTCATGCAGACAAAATGTAAGGTATTTCTTTCTGGTCAATTTTCCCATAGCCTAATAAGACACCTACTACGAATTGACGCTTCACCTTTTTCCAATAAGGGAACAGGAGATGTCGATAAAGGTCGAAAGCTGGTTCTGCAGAAAATACTGAACTTATAATTCATAACAGAAATCAAGGTTTTAACCGTGACTCATTCTTACCACCACTTGGTTTGTTAATCTCTCTCTCTCTCTCTCTCTCTCTCTCTCTGTGCAGAAAAACATAAACATAAGCAAAAGCAAAAAAACAAAAAAAGCAAGAAGAAAAATAAAATTTGCTGCTTTTTTAAGAGAGAGTTCAAAATTGTTGCCATCTAGTACTAAACTATTAGTCTATTAGTAGATGACATCTATTACCCAAACTATTGGCGTATAGACCTCAAGAAATCTCTGAAAATGAGGTCTTGGCTCGATCTCTCTTCTTTCCTTTTTTCACTTATCGTGGTCGGATGGCGAAAGGCCCACGTTTTTGCCCAGGCTATCGTCCTATCTAAGCGGCTTTCTGTTGCTCATTTTGAAGCTGCCTGGTTTTGAGGATAATATCTCAGTTCATCCGCTTATTCAATAATGATACACAATTAGAACTTGTGTCAGAATTGAGAGAGAATTCTATGGGATCGCAGCTGGGACCTTAATAGAGGAAGATGCCAATTCCCGATAGACTAGGGGTTAGTGTAATGGGGAGTTAGGTGCAGCGAGGCCTTTTCATCTTAGATAGGGGGCTCCCACCTGCCGTTCAAAAAGAAGATTGCAGGCGATCCGGACCAGTTCAATGGATTTGAAACCCATATTGGAATTCTCACGGATTACGCAATGGCGTCCTGCCCTTCTTTCTGCATCTGAAACTACCTAAAGCTGGGATTCGCCTGAGGTCTAACAAGATGCAATGTTTATAAAAGCTTGATGACGTTCTTTGACATACATAAGGCTTTCTCTCTGGTATCATAGTATATGGCAGACCAACAACCCAATCGCAGTGAAAAAGAAAAGCTTTTTTCAACAAAAAAAACCCTAAACAAAAGGCTATACCTTTCATTAAATGTAAGGTAAATGGTCATTGAATGAGAGTCTTTGGCAATGGCAAAAGTAGAGAAAATAAGGAAGTCAAGCCCGTTCCAGACACTTAATCCCATGTATAGGAATGCTGTATGGATCAGCCAGCCGAAGCATCTAGGCAAGCCTTATTCGCTACTGCCTGACCAATCGCCCCTTCTCCTTCTTAAAGCAAAGCTAATGAGGTAGCTAACTTGGGCGAGACTCCACTTTCATTTCAAACAATAGCTGCTTTCACTTTCACAATGAATAGTGAGTCGCTAACCATAAAGGGTACAGCCACAGGCGCATAGGCTTGATGAGCCACGCCCGCTACAAAGAGTAGGGGCAAGGAAGGGTGCGACTCTATTCCATGAGCAAGATGGGGAAAACAAGTTTTTACTATGATGATCAAAATGGTGAGTAGGTTGAAAAGGGTGGATCACCTCTTAGATGACATCTATTCTTCTTCATGACTGTTATTGGTACGCGTGCTTGTATTGCCACGTCTTTTCCTTTTTATGTTCCAGTGGGATACCCTCCCAATGAATGAAAAGTCACATTGTTGTTAATCAATCTAGAGATATTCAGTGTACAACAATGGTACAAGAGAGAAAAGCGGTGAATCTTTTACCAAGAATATAGACTAATGGTCGACTTACCTGAGGATAGGAAGCGTTACGTGAGTCGAAGTGGCAAACAAGAAAGCTTATCCTGACGTCTTTTAGGTTGGTACCCTTGAAAAGTCAGAAAGTGAAATTCTCGAGATTGAGATCTTGCGGCCTTAAGGGGATCCTGCTGGATTGAATCATTCAGAGTTAGAGCGAACCAAAATCCAGCATTTTCACTCATTTCACACATATATGAGACTAAAAGTGTTTCGTCTTTTCTTAAGGAAAAGGCGGGTTAGGATGAAAACACGGGTTTTTCAAACTTTTTCAATTGGATGATCGTCATCAGAGCTAAAAAATAGACATCTAATAAAGGCATCAAAGGGCTAGCTAGATTTACCATATATATACGACAGATCCAGGCAAGTGCGAACCCTTCTTGTCGAAACGAATGGTAGTGACTGCTGTATGCACAGCCAAAGACTCCAACCAGTCTAAAAGCTTTCCATGTTCGGGTGAGCGTTGACTCATAACAGTAGCCAAGGAGTTTCAAATAGACTGAAATCCATTTCTCTCCTGCCCCTCCTAAGCAAACAGTCAGCGAGTCTTTACTTGGCTTTCTTTCTGTTTCCTTCAGTTCGAATGGATGTGGCTATAAGGTCAGCTCCTTCATTGGAAAACCTTCTGAGTCTAATAGTACGAAGTAGGGGTTGGCTTTTCTTTGGGTGAAAAGCCGACCTCTAGCGGAATAATGGATTTAGGTGACCAAGGGAGGTACAGAACAAGTTCCGAAGATGCCTAAGAAAGGCAAGGGTCAGAAGACGCCTTAAAAGCAGGCTCTGGCTTTGTTGCTATACCGGCGTATGAACAGGGTCAGTCATCTTCGTAACGAACTCACTATATGGGGCTTCCGCTTCAACCGGTCCTTTCTATTTGCTTAGTGGAGAGCAGGCACCAGATTGGGGAGATCAACGGACTTGAGACTACCACAGAAAGGGGAGGATCAGCCGGCTCAAGAGTGGACTCTGGGCAACCTTCAAGGGAGACCTATACCTTGATTGCTTGCTCATCGGTTCACTCACGTTCTCATGATGTACATATATATAATGAATGTTAGTTAGTCAGATTGCTCATATGGATAGGCTTGCCTGCATAGATAGGTCCAAACTTCCCATTACATGACTTTTCGGGGAATGGTTGTTTGTTGGGATATCTGTAAGGTCAGAGGAAAGATCTCATCAAGCAATTGTATTGGTTCCCTTCTTGTGAAGGCCAGAAAGCTTTCTACGGATCACTCAGTTGGTGGACATGTAGAACTGGCAATTGCTCCGGTTGCAGAAAGACAAGTCCCATACATTAGCTTGGACTAGTATTCCAAATCGAAAGTAAAATCAACCTTTTTTCGGTCTCATATCTAAGCTGCTGCATCACGAAAGTCTGTTACATAAGTGATCAAATCTCCGTCTTTTATGTATGCTTGGCTGGACCAAAAAAAAGTATGTCCTGAGAGTAGAAATTCCTAAAAGGCTTGCTAACTAGCCACCCGTAGCAGTCGTGCCTACAAGGCATCCAAAAAGAAGTGTCCCGTTGTCAGGCCTACTTATTAGTTCATTTAAGTTTTTCCTAACCCAGTCATGTTTCTGAATGTTTAATTGGGGAAACGAAAAGACACATGCTAGCTCGTGAGTGCGAGCTTGACGGAGACTCACATGGATAGCAAAAGGACAGAGGATCTGTCACAATCGCCTATGTAACAAAGGTTTGCCTTTGCTTCTTGTTTTTCTCTTACCCCCTGCCCATTCTACTCCACCAGCAGCCATTGATATTGGTTTTCCCAATGGGTATGGAGATGGTGAGACAGTCAAGCCCACCAATTCGTAGAGATCGGTCTGGAGTCTCGGACTATCTGCCTCACTAGCTATCCGCCTTATTCCTTTCTCGCGCACATCTGATTAGTTGGAAATCTTAGTCAGTTCGTGAACAACTCCAAGATGAGACCTTTGAAAAAGGTCAAATACAAGTCCGTTTTGAAGTCCAATTTCCTGGAAACTAAAGCATGATGAAGGGGTTTGGCAACAGGGATCGGGGCTAGCCACTAAGCAAAGAGGACGGGGTTGGGGTAACTTCCTTGTGAAAGGCGGAGTGAGTGGCACTTCCTCTACCTAGAAATTGGATCAATAGTGAAAGGCTAACCCGAAATACTGTCCTTCTTTCAGAAGAAGCATACCCTTAAGACAGTGGAAACACTAAAGCAGAGCGTTCGAACCCCAGAGAATGACAGGCGGTACTCGCTACCAGTGGGAAGAAGCCTTGTTGACCTTGATGCGTTTGGGGTAAGAGGTGGGACCGGACCCCAGAGAATGACATGCGGTACTATATAACAAAAGGAAGAGGGCTTAGTAGACTGGAGCTTGAACTTGATAAGTCAAGCTCATTCTTACCACCACTTAGTATTTCTTTCTGGTCAATTTTCCCATAGCCTAACAAGACACCTACTACGAATTGACGCTGCACCTTTTTCCATAAGGGAACAGGAGATGTCGATAAAGGTCAAAAGCTGGTTGTGCAGAAAATACTGAACTTATAATTCATAACAGAAATCAAGGTTTTAACCATGACTCATTCTTACCACCACTTGGTTTGTTAATCTCTCTCTCTCTCACTGTGTGTGTGTGCAGAAAAACATAAACATAAGCAAAAGCAAAACAAACAAAAAAAGTAAGAAGAAAAATAAAATTTGCTGCTTTTGTAAGAAAGAGTTCAAAATTGTTTCCATCTACTACTAAACTGTTAGTAGATGACATTTATTACCCAAACTATTGGCGTATAGACCTCAAGAAATCTCTAACGTTACTAGTTGCTTTGGTTGTCTTGAGTATACTCTTTGAATTTAAATAGATATTATTGACTTTTAATCATTCCATAGTAAGTATTCTATATTTGTCATAATCTGGGTGCAAATTGCCTCTGATTTCTATAAGATTACAGATGGTTTCTGAAAGTTCCAAAGCATATTTAGCAATGGAAACTATAATCTTGTTAATTACCTCTCACTACAAAAGGGGTTTATTAAATGCCAAAACTAACAACAGATTTTCCTAGCATGTGCTACCCTCTCAAATTCAGCATATAAAATCTTTCACCCAAATGATTATGCAAAAGCTTTAGCAGTAGGCTGTTGGCCTATATATCAAATTCCGAATGTTAGCTAAAATGGTAATAACCAAGTGGAATATAAATATTACCACAATTTTCAAAAGCACAGGTTCAGCATGTCCTACAAAAGAATGTGTTTTTGAGGATAAAGACTCCTAAGATGAATGCGAATGTAAACATTTATAGCCAACCAGACAACAAAATTAATCATGAATTATAAGAACAAACCCTACTTTGTATGGAGTCTCCATGACAAATCTACCATCTTTTGAAACACAAGGTATGGTGCTCTGCTGAAAGAAGGTGACCTGCATTAAAAATGTATTCATAGGTGAGCTACCCCAAAATCAAGAACTAAATAAAAAAACAAATAAATAAAAATATATATATATGTGTGTGTGTGTGTGTGTGTATATATATCTTACTTGATCAGCTTCAAGGCCAAAATATTTATGACTTTCAAAAAACTTGTGTGTGGCATCATCAGTAAATGGGCTAGTCATTATGTACCAATGTATCGGCACCAAACCAGCTGAACCTGCATATAACCCAATAATTAAGAATGTGATAGCAGATCTAATGAGGTATGAATTCACAGAAACTGCAAGATGAAGCTCACCATCATTTACAGACTGAGCTGCTAATTTTTGAACACACAAAATTCGCTCAGCTTGAAGTTGAAACAACGACTTCCGGGATGGAAGGCCAATATCTGTAAAGAAAGAAAATAATAAATATAAAATAACCAGAATCTTTAGTGACACACAAAAGAAATGAGAGAAAAAAGTATTCATACAGGCACCTAGGTAAATCAAATCACCAGTGTTACCAAATCCAGGAAAATCAACTTTTTCCATGATCTTCGCATAAAAATTAAAATTAGCCATTTGGCCTGGGTTTTACCACTTTTAAGGGAGAAAGTGGGATGTAAGAGAAATAGAGGCACTTCATAAGTTAATATACTATATACCCTTACACCCTGGACTCAAAGCAAATTATTGAAGAATTAGACAACAAAATTTCTTCATAGTGGCTCCAAGAAAACTAAATTAGTCACTGCTTTCATAGAAAATGTTTCCATTAACTGAATACAAACACCAACAGATTAATAAGCACCCCACTTGCCTCAGTCATGAGCAGAAAAAATAACCTATATTTCTATTTCATTTGGAGCAGAAAAATAATATGAGAGAGAGAGAGAGAGAGAGAAGGAAAATTACAAGGAGATTTTCCAATGGAAAAAAAAGACAATAAGAGGACAACAAGTAGGGTATCAAGTAAACATGATAATCACTCACTAAAACACCCCTTAGGATCTGAACTTCCAAGCCGAGTTCCCTGCATTAGAGATTCAACCATGAGGACATACAAGCAAGAAACAACTTATAAAAAACTCTGTGCATCTTATAATTCAAAACTAGAACAAGATACAATTTATACAAGCAACTTGGGCATAATTAGGCAAAGCAACAAATTTCTTTACATACACATAATAGTCATGTATTATGGATTACATATACCAAATTTTCTCCAACCAATTATACAAAAGGATCTATCAGTGCACATTTTATACCGCCAAGCCAACAGTATAATTACACAACTACATTTCCGACATGTAAATATTACCTCCTATTAGGTGTAGTGTACAAATGTAAATAGAAAGAACCTCTCCATGCCTGAAATTATGGCATAACTTGGTAAAATAAACAAGTACAAACGGAAAAATACTTCAGGAGTTCTATACATGTATGCATGCAGCAACTACTACTAGTTCCCTGCAGAATGTAGTCAATGCCCATGACAGTAAGTTCCTTATTCAGAGATATATAGAGAGAAGGGAGGTGGAGGTAAGGGGAAGTGGCAGGGCTGAATTAGCAACAATACAATCGCAGGCGTCAAAAATGATTCTTAATGGAGAATCTACAAGGTATAAGAATCTTTCAACTGATCTATGTTGAAACTTCCAGTAGAACTGGATCTCTTCATAGTGGCTTTAATGACATTAGACTTGAGCAATTGCTAAAAGGGATCACGTTTTAAACAAACAAACAAAAACAAAAAAAAAAAAACCAATTGCTAAGGAGCTAACAGCAGTACAGCTTCAAAGTCTGAATTTTAAGACAAATTCCAAATTGTCATCATAATAAAATCAATATAGGTAAGAAGTTTACAAATTAAAGCAATAAAATTGGTGAAGATGGAATACCAAAACATCTATTAATGTAAACTATGCTATTTATGAATTTCGATGACGGAGTTCAATAACATTATGTGCATGTCTATTTCCCAGAAAGATATGCTTTGAAAATTGTAATAGCAATATGAGTTACATACACAATGATCTGAACATGACATTGTAATGGATTTGGGTGCTGGGGCACTGATGAAGTCCTCATAGGTTGTAGATGATGATGATAAAATAGTAATATTACTTTCCAAATTTATCATGTATTAGCTCCATTATACAATTCTTCCTTTTTGACTTTTTGAAATGATTTCAAATGACTGGAATATGAAGTATACTATATCCATTAAAGGATATTGTTAGTATAAAGTCCTTTTACATAGCACATAATAAAAGTTGCTATTTCTTTTATTAGGTTAACATATCAATCACCAAATTGTCATGAGTAGACATGCCAAAAGCAACACCATGCCAAACTCATAAAGAGAGAGAAAGAGAGAGAGATTTGTAACTACCAATCCAATTAGTTCAATAATTAATTCAATGTACCTTTCCATTTCTTTAAGTATTGTAAAAGGTTAAAAAAATATAAAGTAGAAGCAACTAATGAAAAAGTAGACCACATCAAAAGAAGTGTATTATTCAACTAATAACAAGAACATAATACCTGGCCACCAGAAAGAAGCAACACAGCCAACTTCCCTTCAGAGATAGCCTTCAAGCCCATCTTCCACCATTTCTCTCTATCTTCAAGCGTTCGCTCCTCAACAGTTGACACACTACTTTCTGGCACCGGCTCAATTGCCGCTGCCGGAAGCCCTGAAAGATCAGAAATTTAAACAGAATGCACAAATAACATCTATCATCTGGTATGCAAACTAAAGGAACTACTACATATACATACATACATATATATATATATATATATATATATATATATATATATATATATAAAAGCACTTACATACACATATATATAGAGAGAGAGGAAGAGTGACCTTGAGATTGAAATGAACATCGAATGATCCGATCTATCCTCGGAAGATCTATGTTCTGAAATAACATAGTTTAGCTAACAAAATCAGATTTTAAAGCCATAATTATAATTCGAAACGCACGAGATAAAAGAAAAAAAAAATGTAATTTTGGTATCTAATACATCAATTAGCTTCCGCCACGGTATCTTATATCCGAACCGGCAACAAATTAAGATGGAAACTAATAATTAAATTGAAAATGAAATTAAATCTATGTGACCAATGTAAAGTTCAAAATGGAGATATTACAGATGAGAGATCTATTAAGAACCATATACATAGGGAAAAATGAAACAACCTCGATGTCCTTGACAAGCAGCTCACGTTCTTCGGGAGATACCTCGTCCCATAGGGCAAAAGCGTCTTCTTGGCCGTAATCCTTAAGCCTCTCGAGCAGGGCTTGTGGAGGTGACGATGCGTTACTGTCAACCAATTGAGTTGCCGCCGGTTCTCTCATTCTCTCTATAATTTCTATTTCTAGATCTATCTCTCACTCTCTTAGCTTCTCTCTCTAGATCTCCGTCACTCGTATATATCTCTCTCTACTCAAGTTTAGCTTCTGAACTCTGGTTTCGGTTGGCTGTTGGTAGAGCTTCCTTATAGAGGAGAGAGGAGAGAAACAGTGGTGATGAAGCGAAGAATCGTTTTACGCTTGTCTTGAATCGTTTAAAGGACTCGAATGACCAAAATGACCTTATTTTTCTCCTGGGTCATTTGCTTGGGTATACAGAATAGAATAATCGGGTAAATTACACCCACGCCCCCTTGGTTTTAAATTTCACTTACTCCTCAGCCATCATCCAATTCACCCCTCAACTCCACCCATCAAATATACACACGCGTATAGATCTATCTATATATACACACACACACACACAAAACAAGGGCGAGCTCGGAAAACAGGGGGCGATGATGGCGAATCACCGGCGACGATGGCCTCGGAGAAGAGGGAAGAACCCACGCGAACAATGGTCTCGGAAAACAGGGGGCGAGCTCGGAACGGCTGCGAATCAGGGGTCCCCGTCCGTCCCCGACGGAATAATCGACCTCGATCAATTCCGGTCAGCGATTCGCCCCGATACGGGGCTGGTCTCGATCGTGATACTGAATAATGAGATAGAAGTTGAAGATTACAATTTCACACTGATGCGGCACAGGCTTTGGGGAAGATTCCGATTGATGCGGAGAAGATGAATGTGAGTTTGATGTCGTTGAGGGGGTATAAAATTTACGGGCCGAAAGGAGTTGGAGCTCTGTATATAGCCGAAGTTCTTTTTTTCTTTTTCTTTTTTCATTCTGTCTAATTATATTATGTAAAATACAATACTATTTTGTACATAGTCTAATTCAAGTCTGCGTAGCCGATCTTTAATCTAAATTTCTTGACCCAAGTTTAGGGGACACATTCAGAAAATTTCTTGACCCAAGTTTAGGGGACATTCAGAAAATTGTGTGAGGAGGCAATAGTGTAGTGTAATTTTTGTAGTAATTTTAATGGGGGCAATAATAAAATATTATATATATATATATCAAAATGAAAAATACTAATAATATGGTATAATACTTTAAAAAATTCAGTGGAAAATCCGTGCCTGCCCAGCCTATCCTAAGCTTAAGATAGATTTATCTTGAGTTTTGTTATCCCTAAGCATAAAGAATTCAAAAAAACAAAAATTATTTGTAAACAGGTTCTCAAGATATCATTTTTCAAAGAATTAATTAATATATAATATGTCCTTTTTTAAAATAATAATAATAATAATAAGTTGATCGTGATTATAAGTATATATAATATATATAAAATCATGTATAAAACTCATATTAAGATTAAGGTTTGGGTTGGAATCAAGTTGATGATTGAGGAGGCCCTGGATGACATGGGTCAGGTCCGACTCGCAAAACACAACCTTCAGTCCGAACAGCTGGGTCAGCCCATAGAAAGACACTGCCATATGGGCCGAGCGGGAGTAAGCCCATCAAGAGTGACCAGGGCTTACTGAGGAATAGGCCCAGGTCCATCAATTAGTAAATATCTTGTAAATATCTTGTAAATATCTGGTAAGTATCTATAAATAGGAGTTGGAATGAAGAGGAGGGGGATCTTGATTCGGGTTGAGGTGTAAGAATTCTAGAGAGAGAAAGAATAGAAGGAGTTTCTTGCATCTTCAATTGGCGCCGTCTGTGGGAAACGCATAAAAGTTTGGTTGATCAATGAGGAGTATCGAATGGATTCAAACCAATTCGGTTGATCGAGACTCGATCTTGCGGATTTGAATCCAGATCTGAGCGATTGTGACCTACTCTGGAGGAATTACGATTCTTGAAGCTTTGGCAGGAGTGACTTCAGATCTACGCAACCGCGAGTTGCTCGATTGTGACAGGATCTGACGGATTTAGAGTCCAGGCAATTCAGATCTTGTAAACAGTGAGCATAATTCGGAGAATTAGAAGCCAGATCTAAAAATTCCTACTCACGAAGCTTAGATCTACTCGCGAACTTGAGATTAATGCCTTTACTCCGTTCGGGAATAATGATAGGTGAAAGCTCCAATCCGATGGAGGCTGTCCAGCAAACAAAGCTTGAAGAGTTGATGAATTTGATTGAAGCTCTCAGAAAAGAAAATGCAGAATTGAAAGCTGGATTGCAGCATCGGCAAATACCCGCAGTTTCGCATCCGCTTCCGGTCGGAGAAGGAGGTGTTCCATCTAGTATCGCGCATCAAGGCGATCAGAACGAGAACAATCAGTCAGCTCACCACCGTGATGAAAGGATGATGGACAATTCGCCGCCAAATGTTCGTCGAGTTGAAGATCACGAAGGCTCGACTCACGTTGATCCGCAGCGGGAAAGGTTTGACCGAGAGGAAGTGATGGAGGTAGATCGCCGTCGAGTAGTGTCGCCTTGGCAGAGAGAGTTCATAGAGGAACGGTCGTTCGATCCGTCTTACCGGCCCTCCATGGTTACTGTCACTCATCACGGTTCGGAGGGCAGAACCGTAACTCACAGAGCTACCGCTGGACTCCAGAGAGAGAATGAAGCTCTCCGATCCGCAGCTCGGACGGTGGATTCACCATTCACCGACGAGATCTTGAATGCGCCGCATCCAAGGAAGTTTGCTATGCCAGTCTTTATTCTGTTTGACGGAACAACCGATCCGATCGATCATGTGTATCATATCCAGTTGAAAATGGCCCTGAATACGGAAAACGACTCTTTAATGTGCAAATGCTTCCCTACAAGTCTGGCCGGACCGGCGCTCAGCTGGTTCAAAAACTTGCCTAGGAGCTCCATTGGCAGTTTCAGGGACCTGTGCGATCGGTTCATAAGCCAGTACTATGGGAACAAACGCCCGCCGAAGGACATCTCGAGCCTGTTCACGATGCGGCAACACAAGGATGAACGGCTCCAGGCCTTTCTTACCAGGTTTAATCTCACTAAGAGTATGGTAATCGAATGCCATCCTTCTACGGCAGTTCAAGCCTTCAAGTTAGCCATGACACGCGGAACTCCGTTTCACACCAGTCTGGTAGTGAATACGCCAGCTACCATGGATGAACTCAATGAGAGAGCCGATGGCTTTGTGCGCCTCGAAGAAGAGGAGGCAGCTAATGCTCGGACAACGTCGCTTGTGTCGACCGAGGAAAAGTCCAAGGCAAAGATCAGGCAGAAGCAGGCTCAGCCGCAACGTCAGACCACTTGGAAGGCCGAAAAAAGGTCCAGGGAGGAAGAGTTGATTACTCCGCTGAAGGTCACTCTGGCGAGGTTGTATCAGGAGAACAAGGACAAGTTTCATCCACCACTGCCAATTAGACAACCCCTCGAACAGAGGGATCAAACTAAACATTGTGCTTTTCATTCTGATTTCGGACATCAGACTAACGAATGCAGGAACCTGAGGAGGCAAGTGGAGATGTTGATAGCTAGAGGGGAGTTTGCGAGTTATGTTCAAGGCTCGACGATGGAGCAGAATCGACCAGTGGAACAAATAAAAAGGAGTCATAAACAAAGCTCCCACAATTCGCAACCAGTTCGTATAATCAATGCTATCCATGGTCGACCCGAGCCTAGTGAAGAGCCAGATGAGCTGCTACGGGTGCGCCTGCGGCAGGCGCAGATGAAGAAAAGGGTCGGCAATGTGACCACTCTACACCAACAGAGCCCGTCAATGCAGATAAAGTTCGACTGGACAGACCTGCAGCGTGTTCAACTGCCTCATGACGACCCGTTGGTAGTCAGTTTGACAGTGGCAGAGTGCTTGGTGCGCAGAGTTCTGATCGATCCTGGGAGCAGTGCGAATGTTATGCCGAGGGACACATTTGACAGGCTCGACATTAAACCAGAGAGGCTCAAGCCCACCGGAAATCCCTTATTAGGGTTCGATGGGAAGAGGGTGGAACCCGTCGGGATGGTGGAAGTAGAAGTTCAAGCTGCAGAGCGAGCTCTTATGGAAACTTTTGTGGTTGTGGAAATTCACCCCTCGTATAATCTCCTGATGGGAAGAGGATGGATTCACAGAGTCCGAGGTGTACCCTCAACTCTGCATCAGGTCATGAGGTGCCTCGGGCCCGATGGAGATAAAGTGATAGACATTCGGGGGGATCAGGTCGCAGCCAAAGAGTGTTATTCCGTCACACTAAAGCATGCAGGGAAGGGAAAGGCGCCCGTCCGGTCGACAAGCCCCAGATAGCAATTACAGGAACCTCCACTCGAGCAGAATAGGGTGGAGGAGTCAGCCGACTTGACCGAGGAGCCCCTTCTGGATGTGCAGATCGATCAGTCCAGGCCAGAACGAACTACCAGAGTGGGTATAAGACTGACCAGAGAAGAGCAGCAAGAGCTAGTGGATTTCTTATCCCACAATGTCGACGTATTTGCATGGAGTCACCTCGACATGCCTGGAATTAGTCCTTCCGTCTCCTGTCATTCCCTGAATGTCAATCCTAATTTCAAACCAGTGAAACAGAAGCAGCGAAGATTTGCTCCAGAACGTAATCAGATCATAACGGAAGAAGTTGATAGGCTGCTTGATGCGGGATTTATCAGAGAGGTGCACTACCCTGAGTGGTTGTCCAACGTCGTTGTGGTGCAGAAGAAAAATGGGAAATGGCGCGTATGCATTGATTTCACCAATTTAAACAAAGCCTGCCCGAAGGACAGTTTCCCGTTGCCTAAGATTGATCAAATGGTGGATGCCACCACGGGGTATGAGCGTTTAACCTTTCTGGACGCATATTCAGGTTATAATCAGATTCCTATGGACCCCGCAGATGAAGAAAAAACTTCTTTTGTCACCGAGCGAGGAACATACTGCTACAAGGTTATGCCTTTTGGATTAAAGAATGCGGGAGCAACTTATCAACGACTTGTCAGCAAAGTTTTTAAGAATCAAATGGGTAAGATTGTCGAAGCCTATATTGATGATATGGTGGTGAAAAGTAGGAAAAAGGATGATCATCTGAAGCATCTGCAAGAGGTATTTGATGTACTAAAGCGATATGGGATGAGGCTCAATCCGACCAAGTGCTCGTTCGGTGTGAGTTCCGGGCAGTTTCTGGGACACGTGGTCAACCGCAGGGGCATCGAAGTTAGCCCCGCTCAAGCAGAGGCTTTGATTAAGAATGCCGAGCCAAAGACGATCAGAGAGGTGCAAGCCCTAACAGGACGAATAGCTGCATTAAGTCGATTTATTTCAAAGTTGTCAGACCACTGCAAACCATTCTTTGACACGATTCGGAGCCATGGAAGGCAGGTCTGGGGGGATGAGCAACGACAGGCATTGACTCATTTGAAGCAATATATGCAGAATCCGCCAGTCCTGTCAGCCCCAGAACCGGAAGAAAAGTTATTTCTATATCTTGGAGTATCTGGTGTCGCGACGAGTGCCGTTCTGATTCGTTGCAAGGAAGGGGTGCAATACCCGGTATTTTATGTAAGCAAAACACTGATGGAGGCAGAAAAAAGATACTCAAAGGCCGAACGGGTGGTACTTGCACTTGTAAATGCAAAAAGAAAGTTAAGGCATTATTTTGAATCCCACCCCATAGCTGTTCTAACAACTTTCCCAATCAGAACGCTCATGCACAAGCCAGAGCTCTCGGGCAGAATGACAAAGTGGGCCATAGAGTTGAGTTCATTTGACATAACGTACGAGCCGAGAACAGCTATTAAAGGGCAAGCGGTGGCCGATTTCCTACTAGAATGTGATGCCGAAGATACGGAAGAGGACCTTAGAAGCGGCTCTTGGAAACTTTTTGTGGATGGCTCCTCTAACCAGACGGTGGCTGGGATTGGGATCAAACTGCAAACCCCAGAGGGTACTTCCTTGAGCCAAGCACTCAGACTTGAGTTCCGAGCCACCAATAATGAAGCGGA